GTATGTATGTATGTATGTATGTAAACATATATTGTTAACTATAACAGACAATTAATGTCTATTATGTTTGATCATGAGCCGTTCTAAACTTTGTATAGTTGGTTTAATTCCGGGTGAAGCAACTATACAAAGTTTAGAATGACTCATGATCAAACATAATAGACATTATCTGTTATATTTAACAATATATGTTTGAATAATGATCTGCTGCCCCAATACAATATATATATATATATATATGAAGAAATATAGTCTTAAGATGTGCTATATTTATGGGATAAAGTGCTCAATATCAGAGATAGAGTGTGTGTAAATATAAAGGTGAACATAAAAGTCAACACTTAGAGGCAACATTCTAGCATGAAACAGACTGTCACCTCTAAGTGTTGACTTCTATGTTCACCTTTATATATATATTGTATGTATGTATATATGTATAAAATAACATTATGAGGATAACTTTTTACATGAAATTTAAACAAATTATTTTGACAGGAAATGAGATTTTGTTAAAAATTAAATATCTGTTGTATGAAGAGTTTCCTTTTCTTTCTTTTAGAAACTCTTTCTTCTTTCTTTTTCCATCATTTCAGTCAATGTTGAAACTTTTTTTTTCTTCGATTTTTTTCTCTCCACATGTGCCATTTCTCTTCACCTCCATTTTTTTTTTTACTTCATCCATTCTTGAAATACCAATGCAATTTCTTTCCCTTTTTAATCATTCTGATCACTGGCTTTCCATTTTTATTTCAGCTTTTCTTTCTTTTCTTCAGTTTTTCTTCTTTCTTTTTCATTTCTTTAATTTTTTCCTTCAGCCTTTCATCTTTAATTTCTTGTTTTTGTTTTGTTTACCTTTTTTCTGCTTTTTCATTCATTTCTTTCTTTTCTTCAGCTTTTCTTCTTTCATTTTTTCTTCTTCAGCCTTTCTTTCATTTCCTTCATTTTTTTGCTTTCAGCCTTTCTGTTTTCTTTCTTTCAACTTTTCTTGTATCATTTCTTTCTTTTTTTCAGTTTTTCTTTCCTTTCTTTCTTTCCTTAATTCATATTCCAGCATTTTTTCTTTGCTTCTTTAAATTCCTTCTTTCTTTTTCTTCCATCACATTTTCTTTCACTCCCTCTTTTTCTTCTTTTGGCATCTCCATAATCCCTTCTCTCCTTGTTTTTTTTTTCTATCTTTCCTTCCCATTTTCCATCTCTTTTTTTTTTTTCCTTCTCATTTTCTTCTCTCTTCCACCCTTTCTCCTTCCAAACATGCTCTTCACCCACCCACTCTTTGCCTTTCTGCTTTTCCTTTACTACCCCACAAATCCCCATGTTTCTCTATGACCTTCCTCCCTATTATCCTGTGTGTCTCTGCCTACGCCCATCCTCAGTTGCATCAAAAGAAATAAATATTGCACCCAGAATAACATGCACATTTCTGCATGGCATAATAAAAAAATGCATGCATTGTTGACTGCACGCATTGTTTAAATGCACACGCCATACACACACAGAAGTGGACATTTCCTCGTGACCAGTCAGACCGTTTTCCTCCATATTAACAAAGAATTAAACCCCACAGATCAAGATAACCCTCCCCTAACCTCCACCATTCTTACTAATCTGAGGTGATAATCTAAAAAGAGACAAGCCATTTCTGGTAGACTTATCGGAATCGTTGAGAAATTCCTTTAGTAATAAGGTACAGTCGTTCTAAAAGGGAAACAGAAATCCTTTGAACAGAATACTGATTTTCTTAAAATCCCCAAGTTAGAGAGTAAAGAAATTTTATGCAATTTCTTTGTTTTTGCTTTATTTGGAAATTTTACAAGAAAAGATGACTAATAATAACATAATAACTCAATCTGTTTTTGTATAAAAGAGCATATCTTATGCATATGCATAACGAAATATAATGTTGCATATATGTGCAGTATTAACACAGTGCTGATACATAAAATAAGAACTGGCAAGCTGTATTCAGTTTTTGGCCAAGGCTGTTTTCCCTTGAGAAAGGCATGAATCCATTCCTCCCTCCAGCTCTGGGTAAATAAGATTTGAAGGCTGGTCAGTGATAGATACTAGATCCTTACTGAAAACTTCTGTCAAAAATCCTAAACTTTATGATGTCCTATCATATGAAACAAGCCTGATCAGTACCTAGATGAGTGATCACTTGCAAATACCTGGGGCTGTAAATGCAGATGTGCTTGGAATTGGAAATCAGAGAGCTGAGTTACAATTCCAGTAGGTTTAGCTATATCCACTTATGTGCAAATACCCTTGGGTAGTGCTGAACTACACTATAAGCTAAATAAGCTATAGCCTCAGGCCACACAACCTTGAGGGATTCATTTTTGTAATTAGTTTTTATTCTTGAACCAAAATTCATCAAAAATCATACACAATTATTAATAAATATTAAATATGTATAATTATTTAAAATTTTCTTACTCAGGATTTTTTTTTTTTAGAGAAGGGCCTTGAATTTCATATAACTTAGGTCCTCAGCAGATGAAAGTCTGACTCTGACCCTGGAAAAAGCATAAATTCATCTCTTCTCCTCCCAACTATGGGTTAATTAGTAGAACTTGTAACAGTAAAAATCATTATTATCTACAAAAAATTCTTACAATATAAATTTAGTTTTAGCTTTAAATAACATATAAGAGGTTGACAAACCATAAAAAACAAATTAATCAATATCCATCATTTTAATGGGAAAAATAATGAGATTGGAGGCTAAAGAAAGTGGAATTGTCTCTGTGCAACGAGAGCTCTATAATTCTAAAACCTTCATGCATACATTATTGAGCAACATCTTCTATTCTTCACCGTTATAGAACATGAGAACTGCGGACAATCAAGATTCAAAGTCCCTTTTTTTCATTGCTTCTTGACAAATTTTATAATCTACAAAATGATAGAATAATATTAAAAATATTATGATGAGTTATCTATTTTGTTCTTTTTTGTTGTTATTTTTAATCATATACAAAAAACAATAGGGATAAAAACAAAAACAAAACTGGCAAAGGGCAGAGGTCAGTGATGCATCTGGGTATCCCACATGCTTAAAATTTTAGCATTTAAAGCTAAATGTGCTTATCTGACATATGTGTGTGTAAAAGTTCTAATATATATATATATGGTTATGATAAAAAATATACATATAAGCACATATACTTCCATGTATATATAAATATATTTCTACCTCATGTGTTATAAATATAGTGCTCAATGTTATGTAACAGAGCTATTAAGTATATATTAGTGATTATACATAATATCAAACATTGGTAGCCTGACTCAGAGTTTCATGCAATCTTGAAAAGTCTGAGTCATGCTACTGACGTTGAACATGTCTGGCTTATTCAAAATACAAAACAACTACTTTTTAGTCCAATTTAAAAAATTACCAGGGGTGGCCTCAAAATTTTGAACTGTAGTGTGTGTGTGTATATATATATATATATATATATATATATATATATAAAATATGCATAATACCCCACATTGATTGCACAATGCCGAGTTTCATGTCATTTGCAATCTTCAGGTACAATTTTTTGGTTTAGACCATTTGTTTAATACTTCTGATGTTTCCAGTAATGTGATTTATATAGACTTTTAGTGTTTTTCACCAGAATTTTCCTTAAGGTTTCTTATAAATTGTGAATAGATAGATACTTTTTTATAACACTTTGATCGGATAAGTGACATATGAGGTGTGTACTCATGAAGATGGTAGTATGTCTGATATAGGTAATACATAATGAAATTCACTCTGCAAGAAATTTGGAAACTGCATACTGTAATGCTTGGAATTCATGCCAGAAGCTCCAATACAAACATTTCAGAGTGTTTGGGTGTCTATCTGAGGACAGTGAAGAGGATTCAGAAAAAGTTGGAGGAGTCTAATGTTGATTACAAAGGTACAGTAGGTTGGAAAAACTCAGTCTGATTTTTCTGATAAGAAAAGAACTATCAAATTTGTTGGTGATGGCCTCAAACTCAATACGGAGGCCTACATCAAGTGCCTTGATTGGTGTGGTTTGGTATTTTTTACTGCATATCAACCTCAATGGGTTATTTAATGCCAACAAGATTTTTATTGATGGTAATATGTTTTTTCAAAAATATATTGCTGGTAATAATTTTTTTTTCAAAAATACATTGCTGGTATTAAACCTATTTTTACACTTTCTTAATGTTTTGACCCCAGATTGGGGGTTAACTATTTGTCCATAACTGGGACCCTAACAAGTGCTACCACCCTGGGTCAGGGTGGACCTGGGAACACCACCAATTAAGAGGTGGTTCCATGCACCTCAAAACCTCCTGATCAGAAGCCTTGCTGTGGGATGTAGTTTATCATCTTACCCAGGACACAGATATAGTTTATCATCTTACTCAGGACATCAAGTGCCTTGAGGAGGTATTGCTGCTCTGGGTTAAGAGGGTGTCTGATAGAAGACCCTATGCCTGGCAACAGGACTCTACACTATGCCACACAAGCAGGAGAATCCAGTCATGGCTGTCAGACAATTTCTATGGTCACATCAACCTTACATCTGGCCACCTAACTTCCCAGACTGCAACCCCCTTGATTATTATATGTAGGGCACAGTTGAACAAGAGACCAACAAAACTTATTGTAACACCAAAGATGAACTGGAAAAGGATCAGCATTGATCAACTTAAACAAGGAAACTGTCCAGAATAGATGCAAGAGATTCTGAAGTTGTTGTGAAGCCATTGTTGAAGCCAGTGGTGATTTTATTGAATAAATTTACTCTTTAGTATTTTAACATATTTTTATGTAATTTTGGTAAATATATCTCTTAAAATGAAATGTCAGTGTTATTTTCATTTTTGAGTAATTTAGACGACAATTTATCCATCGCACCCTGTATGACAGAGTTGAAAAAGTTTTCATGTGACGCCTTTCGTCATTTAGGACTACATCAGATTAAATTTATTACATCAGCATGATGAAAGGCCTTGGATAAATATAACTAAAGATGCAAAAGGACTGAGATAGATAGATAGATAGATAGATAGATAGATAGATAGATAGATAGATAGATAGATAGAGAACAGATTGGGATATATATATATATATATATATATATATATAGAGAGAGAGAGAGATAGATAGATAGATAGATAGATAGATAAAGAACAGATTGGGATATATATATATATATATATATAGAGAGAGAGATAGATAGATAGATAGATAGATAGATAGATAAAGAACAGATTGGGATATATATATATATATTTATATATATAGAGATAGATAGATAGATAGATAATGAACAGATTGAGATAGATAGATAATGAACAGATTTAGATAGATAGATAGATAATGAACAGATTGAGATAGATAGATAGATAGATAGATAGATAGATAGATAGATAGATAGATAGATAATGAACAGATTGGAATAGATAGATAGATAATGAACAGATTGGAATAGATAGATAGATAATGAACAGATTGGAATAGATAGATAGATAATGAACAGATTGGAATAGATAGATAGATAATGAACAGATTGGAATAGATAGATAGATAGATAGTGAACAGATTGGGATAGAAAGAAAGAAAGAAAGAAAGAAAGAAAGAAGGTTATAGTGCTTATTTTTCAAGTAGGAAAAGTTTAACCAAAAAACAAAGAAATTCAGATGAACACACACAAAAAAAGATGATGGTTCAATTTGAATGTGTAAAATCTTTAGAAATTAAGAAGAAAAAAATCAAATTCATCAAATCAAAATTAAATGCATTTTTTTTCTTAAAATAAAAAATAAAACTAAAATAGAGCAATTTATAAAAAAAAAGTTATTCAGAATATGAGTCTGAAGAAAAATGAAACCTGAAATTCAGAAAAAATAAAGTAAAAAAAAACAAAAAAGATAAATCTTTTAAAAAAAATCAAGAAAATATTACTGTAAAAGAATGAAATGAAAAATGAATAAAAATAAAAATATGAAAATAAATAAAAAATAAAACATGAACAAAAAATGAAAATAAATGGAAAATGAATGAAAAAGGAAGAACAAATAAAAAAATGATGAAAAATAAAATAAAAATGAGAAATAAATGATAAAAATAAATATTGTAAGAAAAAATCTAGATGAGATTTACAAAAAAGAAAAACATGGCAGAATATTTTTGGAGTCATTAAATAATCTAAGGTCTGAAGATAGTTTTGCTTACATAGAAAAAATAAGAGAAGCAACAATAACAAAGTATTATAAAAACAACAAATGATAAAAATGAAGCTATATAATAAAAAAAAAAAGTTATTCAGAAAGACAAAAAGAAAAAGATTAAAAATTCAACGCAGAAAAATTATTATATACAAATATTTATCAAATTAGAAAAGAAAATTTTCAAAATGGAGGAAGAATAAAGATATATTGTTTTAAAATGCTGGAAAAAATTAAGATAAAAAATAACATTCACAAAATATAACAAAAAAAAAAAAAAAAAAAAAAAAAGAAAAACTGAATGTCTGTGAAAAGCTGATAAGAGTCCCACTACTTATTTGTCACTCTGGTTAAAATGTTTAGTTCAGCAAATAAACCTATTTATCTATGTGATTGATCCTACTTCCATGTGAAGACTCATCAGTGAAACATCCTATTATCTTCGGCATATCCTTGTCATGAAGAAAGTGCTAAGAACTAAATTGTTTATATTGAAATAGGCTTATCTTTTTTCTACTTTAAGATGCAAAAATAAAAAAAAACAAAGAAAAAAAAACTTACATCTCATCTTATAAAATGCTTAAGTCTTTATCAAATGCAATGTTGCGGATTTATATCAGGCTTTCAAATCTTCTCTCAGTGTCTACCACAAATATAACACTGTTTATTTGTTTGTTTTCAGTTCTTTTCATCATTTTTTTTTTTCTTCTTCTTCAGTTTTTGGTTATATTTTCTTTTTAAGATAATCGGGGAGGGAAAAAAAAATTATCTGCAGAGATAATTAAACAAAGATAAAAAGAAAATGTTTTTTTCCTGCTACATGTATCTATCTCAGCTTGTTTCTCTTTCACCATCATCCCAGTTTTTCATATTTGCATGGCTGAAAAGATTCTATTTTATTCTAGAAACAAAAAGTTGCTGTTGGAATCCAGGTAAAAAGCCAAGCAGACAACATTGCATAGTGTATTTCTAAAATCTATAATCTTCCTCTTATAGAAATCTCTGTCTCTTTCTCTCTCTCTCCCCTCCACACAGACAATAAATATATATGAACATTTGGAAAATTTCTATTTTTTGAAAATGATTTGACAATGGACCGACATTAAAACATTACAAATTTTCTTCTGTATTTACCATTTACTTAAGATTCTTACCCAACTTTACTCATTAATATATAATGATAGATAGATAGATATGAAGAGATTATATATATATATATATATATATATATATAGAGAGAGAGAGAGAGAAAATGAAGAGATGATGGATGGATATGAAGAAATGATAGATATATAGATAGATATGAAGAGATTATATATATATATATAGATACACCTAGTGAGCCAGACAAACCTACCTAGGTTTCACCTAAACGGATCGTCAGGGAAAGCATATATAGATATGAAGAGATGATATATAGATAGATGAAGAGATGATAGATAAAGAGGAAAGATAGATATGAATAGATTATATATATATATATATATATATATATATATATATATATAAATAGATACGAAGTGATGATGGATATGAAGAGATGATAGATATATAGATCGATATGAAGAAATGAAGGATATATAGATAGATATGAAGAAATGAAGGATATATAGATAGATATGAAGAGATTATATATATATACATATAATGTTTTGAACAATAAAAAATATTAAAAAATTAAAATCTTCAGACACACTGAGTTGTATATTAATATTCTTTTGCTTTTTATTATTTTAATTAGATTCCTAAATAGATATGAAGTAATGAGGGATGGTTATGAAGAAATGATAGATATATAGACGGATATGAAGAAATGATAGATAGATCTAAAGAAAGATAGAAATGAGAAATAGATATGAAGAGATCTTAGAGAGGTAGATATGAAGTGACCATAAAGAGATGGATATGATGATATGATAAATAATTAGATAGATGTGAACAGGGTGAAATAGATTGATCTAAATTAACTGAGATAGAGAGATGTGAGCAATCTAAGATAGATTAGCCTCACAAACATACACAAAAATGTGCACACACACAAACAAACGCACACTCATATACATACATGCACACCCACACATATATGTTCCTTTCAGTTTTGCATAAAAGTTTCCAGCATTTTCCTTTCTACTGTGAAGTCTACCATTTCTAGTCTTCATAAAAATAATGTGTTTAGAACTTTTGCATACATTTAATATTTACATGTAGAAAAAATGTATTATATTTATGCACAGGTAGGTGCATTTACACCTGCATACATACTTATGAATTGGGATAAAATATGGATTAGAATCTGACAATGATAGGATAAGGAACAAATAGGAAACATAACATATAATGTGATTTTTGAAGACCTAATTTTGGAGCTAGTTTTAAAGGGGTTGCATCAGACACGAGATATAAAATTAACATATGTACTGCTGGCTCTGGGTACGCCACCTATCAAACTATATATCTATCTCTTCTCATTATCTATCTATGTTCATCATCTATCTATCTATGTTCATTCAGATACATGATAAAATCATTTTTTATTAGTGAAAATTTGGGGGTTGTACGATATGCAAGATTGCATGTTATACAAGTATATATGGTGCTTGTGTGTGTGTATACACCCAAGTATATGATTGGTGTATACGGAATAAATTCCAATAATCAACAATTACTATTCTTAAAAATGTGCTCAATACAGAGCAGAGCGAATATAATTTTTTATTTAAAAATTATAACATAAATATGTTATAAAATCACTACAAAAATAGCCATTTTGTTTCAACACCTCTGGTATCTTATCAAGTGATGATGTTGAAGGTAGTTGAAACAAAATGGCTATTTTTGTAGTGATTTTATAACATATTTATGTTATAATTTTTAAATAAATAATTATATATATATATATATATATATATATATAAAAGGTACATGCCATCAGTAATTACTCAGGGTAGTCAGCCTGTGACCTTTATGTAGTAAATCTACAAACAAAATTTTTGCATTTTATGCATAATAATCAGAGTAACCTTCATAATTTTATTGGATTAGATCGATATTGTACCAGAGAAGGAAAACGTAGCTGCTGATCTATTTTATTCAGGGTAGGCACAGCCTACCTGGATATCATGTACCTCATATATCAACTATGGATTGAAATGCAACAGAATGGATAAGGAACAATAAAATAAATCTAACATATTTTTCTTTTATTAAAGTTTCATTAGAGAATGAAATATGGAGGAGAAAAAAAAATTCTGCTATTTTTAATTTTTGTTTTTCTTTTCCAATGGTTAAGCAGATCTCACATACATCTGTCTTGTCAAGCAGTGTTCATGTGTATAATTAATGTATGCATGGCTGTCATAATTCTTGTTCATCTATGTAGGATTTAGTTGATTATGTATATCTATTTATGTGTGTGTGTGTGTGTGTGTGTACATGTAGCAGACATTTTTATCCATGTTTGGTGGCTGTCCACATGTTGATTTGGTGACGTTTGATATGAGTGTGAAAGAATTTAAGTAATACTGATTGTGATAGCCGGTAGACATATTCTAGATTCTTTAAGTATTGATTTTATAAAAGTCAGTGATATAATAAAGTGTGTTTATAGATGGTAAAATATTTATCAGATATTATATTACATAACCAATGATTATATGATACTAGCAGTAGAGCCTGGCGTTGCCCGGGGATGTAACAGCAAGAGATAGATCAAGTATCGACCATCATAAAGACTGAAAAATAAAATTGACAAAGATTATTGTTTAAGGTTGACGGACACGCATGTCTTAATTAGGTTTTTTTTTTTGTTGTTGTTTTTTGTTTGTTTTTTGGGGATTTTTTTTTACGAATTGGTTAAACCCAAACTCAAACAAAAGCATTGTTTTCAATCATTATGAGTCTCTACCGATTGAAGAGAATTTTATTATAAACATTTGTCTTGTAAATGGAATTTTTAAAGCATTCTGAATGTAAAAATAAAGAAAAAAGTGTGCAAGATAATAAGAAACACTACCTGCCAAAAAAAGTGAAGTTGAAAAATGTAGGAAATCCGATCCCATATATAAATGAACACACACACTCACAAACAACCTGGGTTTTATAATAAGTATAACTCGATATGAATTGTCCCCCTTTCATTCTCAACAACGATGCCTCTTAATCGTGTTTTCAGATTGATTTCGTGCAAAAACAATTGTGTTTTTCCAATTTTTGGTGCTGTCAGAATCACCGCACGGTAATTTTACGTAGTCCTATGAAGTTTTGTTGAAATTGGTTGAAAAATGTAGGAAATCCGATCCAATATATAAACGAACAGACACACACAACCTGGGTTTTATAATAAGTATGATGTTATATTATATAACCAACTTTTATCAAATTCATACTTAAAGAGTCAAGTATGGATTTTATAACAGTGATATAAT